TGCGTATCACGTGTCGTGTCTTTCTACAGTGGTATACAGTGGTACACGTGCACCAGATACAAATTCAAATGGTTCGGGCAATGTTATGACTAACTGAACTTTTTGCTCTAGAATTGTCGGCCTGTGTATTCTACGATAAAGAAAAGTGCGTCTTTGAAAAATGATTAGTTGGTAACATTGTTCTACGTCTTGCGAATATTTTCTTCGATATACTTTACTTTACATTTACAGTATTTTCCACGATATTTCCTTTGCAACAAAAATAATTGTGTATCTTTCATCTACCGCTTGATGAAATTATTAACCGTGATACGATTAGAATTCATTGAAAAACTTACACCAACTACATTGTTTAAATATACTTTTGCTCTCGGCGATTCAAACAAGAGTGGCACGCGCGTTTGATTCTCGTTTGGCACCGCTTTCGTTTGCTCTCGCGGCAGTAGCGGATCTAGACTTATCGGCACTGAAAACTAATTACTTTCGGGGGATAGATTTGCAACAAAAAGATCTATGATAAGATTCAATTATTTAATTAAAGAGAAAAAAAGAAAAGAAATTACAAGATATTTACACGAATCGCACTATTTTTCAAGAACCAAAGCAATTTCTCTTGTTTCTTCTCTGCTAGCGAGCAGTTGATCGAATTATAATAGAAACTTTGTTAGCTCCATAGTAGATTCGTCCCTGCCTTTCATCGTTAGCCGAGATGTCTGTAAGGTCCACCAATCCTGGCCCAATAAGAGCGTTAATCGAAGGCCGTTTTCGATTGCATATCGCATTTCTTGTTTTTTTTTTTTTTTTTATGACACGGTATGAATCTCCGTGGTGCCTCGTCGCGTCCGGACCACGAGACAATGGTAAACTTTTCTACAACGTACAATTTAGTTGGAAAACGAAACGTAAAGGCAGATTTCCAGGACAGCTTGAACCGGTTAATACCAGTTTCTGCGAGATTTATATATGTATATAGCAGACATAAGAAAAAATTGTTATTTGTTCTTTACTTTTAATTCGTTAACTTGCCGGGATAATTAATTACCAATCCGTTAAACCTTCTCAACGTAAATATTTCTTCGGTGAAATTTCGATCTAAACTAAGTTACAAATTATTGTTGAACAAGCAATTAACATGTATGAATATTTCACCGTCGGTTTGTAGATATTATATAATAGATTACATTATGCATCACGGCATTGTCGATTACTATGCGGGACCAATGAATCTCGTAACGCACCGTACAGATTGTTTTTCCTGCACACCTTTGCAATTATGTGGATAACTACATATACATGTATAGCTTGTAGTTACATTCCAACCAAAGAATATTCTACAAGGCTTGTTATCAAGGTTACATTGTACAATTATCTCGGAACATTGACCAAGATATTCGAATAATAGTAGAAACTTTGAATGCTGGAAGCGATCGTAAAATTCCATTTCATAATTTACCAATCACGACAAAAATATCAGAATTAATTCTTGCCAAAAAATTGTTCGTTTCATTTCAATGTTCAAGTCGACATATTTTACATCGGACTCTGATTGTCAGTTAAATGACATTTAAACGTTTGTTCGCGCATCTATCGGGGAATCTTGGCAGTTCTTGAAACTTGGAATAAACGATGGTTTACTCGACTATGATATCTCGAACTTATTTGTAATTTGACTCGTACGTATCAGCCTTATCCACGGTCTTCCAGATGCGTAAATGTTTTAATACCATTCGCGATCATAAAAATGACGCGTGTGTTTCATCAGACTGACATAAAAAGATAATAAAATATAATTACAACAACAGCTCCTCATGCTATACGTGCGGTGTATACTACATATACATATACAATGTATGTATAGTACTTCACGCATGGTGCCCGAGGCAATATTTCGTTATCATATTGGATGAAAAGTTTACGCAATTGCTGATTTCAATATTCGTTACTATTTTAAGCATAGTTTTATATTGTACATACATGTGTACATATGTATAGAGATACAAGGAAATAATCTTTTAAATTGTTTGTCTTTTTTTCTCTTTTTGAACAACAAAAAAGAAAAGTAAATGTTGTTCGTTCGTTATTCAGGATAAGAACGGTGACATCATGGCGCATCCAAAAAAATTTAGGAATTGCATGTCGGAGAACATGCTGACACTGTTGACGGTTCTCGGTGTTGTGGCTGGTGTAATGCTCGGATTTATTCTAAGAAACTCCAGAGACGAGCCATGGACAAAGCGCGAGATTATGTATATCCAATTTCCAGGAGATATATTTCTGAGAATGCTAAAGGCTCTCATTTTGCCATTGATCGTCGCTAGTATTATCAGCGCGATTGGTGGTTTGGATCTGAATTTATCTGGTAATGAATAACTAAATATTTAGTGCTTTCGGTCGGAAGAACGACAGATTTCTGATTATTATTCACGATGAGCGAACCGCGTAGGCGTACAAACTTGTTTACGTGCAGATCGTTTGGTAGAGGATACGTTGTGTGTACTGATATTTTCTGGTACGATTTTACTCGCTGACGCAAACAATTCAGATAATAAATATTTCAATTTTCAGCTTCCCGAATAGCTGAATACTTAATTTAAATTAATCCTCTCGAGGTAGCGACCCGACGTACCTATTACACATTCTACTATCAGCAAACAAGACATTTACTTACTTACGGCTTATGGCTCCAATCAACAAATTTATAAATTACACGTGAATTTTCATCGCTTCGCGTATCATTAGTTTATGACATTTTTAACGTATATACTATAGAAAATTACTATTAATAAAGACGGCAGAATTTTCATGAAATTTGATTTGTAGGAAAAATCGGCGTGCGATCGATTTATTATTATGCATCGACAACGATATCTGCTGTGATTCTTGGTATAATATTAGTTGTCATTATTAAGCCTGGAGAGTTCAGTTCGCATAGCTTAACTACAAATGCGAATACAACACCAACGAGGAATGTTACAACTGTAGATACATTATTGGACTTGGTCAGGTATCAATTTCAACAAAAAAAATTGGTCCATTTTCTAATGACATTTTCTTATTTTCTTACGAATTTTTGTTTGTTTTTATCCTTTAGGAATGTATTTCCTCCGAATCTTGTACAAGCTTGCATTGCTCAAGTATGTATACGTATACTATAATCATCGTATAATCATTTATCGCATTAACCAATTATTGTTTTATCACAGTATCGTACGATATTACTAGAGCCAAAAAATACAACAGGAGGTAAATACTTATTCGTTTGGTTTCGATCTGTTTATCATTTATTTATCGTTATGCCGCTAATAAATGCGTCGATATAATTGGATGTTTCTCTGTTCCAGTAAATAGTATACAAGATTGGGAAATATCTCATCGGTATGACGAAGGCACAAATACTCTAGGATTAGTTATTTTTGGAATTGTCTTTGGCATAGCTCTCAGTAAAATGGGAGATGCTGGAAAACCTCTCTTAACATTTTTCGACACTTTAGCCGAAGCATCGATGCTTATAACTAAATGGGTCATATGGTTAAGTATCATAAATATTGTACAATACGATACAATAATTATTCCATTAATTTTCATTTACTTTATGTTTTGAGCATTATTTTATATATGTATATAGGGTTTCCCCCATTGGTGTGTTCTTCCTTGTTACTTCGAAACTCTTAGAAATTGAAGACATTGGCGCTATTGTAGGACAATTAGGTTTATACTTCGTCACGGTATTACTAGGTTTGACTATTCACGGTCTTGGAAGTCTTTCTCTTATATTTTTCATTTGCACCAGAGAATTGCCTTTTAAATTGCTTGGAAAAATGGGTCAAGTCTTGGCCACTGCGTTTGGTACATCGTCAAGGTAAATTGAGTTTGTACATGAGTTTTATTCAAATTACGAATCATGTATCAGAGTATGCTATGCATATACAAACAATATATTTTCTATGACTACAGCACAGCTACCCTGCCAGTGACAATTCAATGTTTAGATAATATCGGCGTAGATCCTAGAATTACAAGATTTGTTGTTCCAATCGGTGCCACCATTAATATGGATGGAACGGCGTTGTATGAAGCTGTAGCGGCAATCTTTATAGCTCAAGTCAGAAATGTTCCATTGTCTATTGGCAATGTTATCGGTGTCAGGCAAGTCATTCATTTAGAATTATTCATTGTAGATAACGTTGAAAACACAAAGAAAATTCTATCGTAATATATTTGTTATAGCATAACAGCTACTGCGGCAAGTATAGGCGCTGCAGGCATACCACAAGCTGGTCTTGTTACGATGGTTATGGTTTTGGATACTGTAGGTTTACCTGCCGAAGATGTAACACTTATTATCGCGGTAGACTGGCTCTTGTAAGTATACCAGCAGATTATTTTTGATTTTTAATTAATTTACATAGTATAAGATGACATATAATTGCTCTATTAATTTACAGAGACCGTTTTCGAACAACGATAAATGTTGTATGCGATGCACTCGGAGCTTACGTCGTCGAACATATGAGCAGAAAAGAACTTGAAGTAACTACAAGTTTCCCAGAAGAAACAATTGAACTAGCCAGAGTAAGGAAAACCGACGCATAATTTCGCTCTTTTTCCTTTTATTCCAATTTTGCCATGATATTATGTAAACACAATTTTACAGTGTTTATATTTTTTGTATACTTTATAGTCAATTATTTGTACTAATGTATACTCATGCTGGGTGCGTGATCTTATTTTACATAGCGATCTATGCATATTTATATAATTGCTAAATATTGTTACCAGCAAGATACTTATTTAGAGATTTAACGGAAGAAGACAATCTGCATTCGTTTTCATTTTTACGAACATGTTAAACACATTGTTTGTTGTTTTATTTTTTCGTAATAATTTTATATTACAATTGTTATTATACATAAAATAAAATTATTATATAATTCATAATAATATGAAAACATTCCATATATTTATTGAATACAGCAAATATAAACAAATTATATTGGATATTATTTTTTTTTTTTTTGTGTACTTCATTTCTGTACATACATATATAGTATTTATTATACAAATTTTATTAATAAAAGTTTTAAGGAATAATTGCTTGTAAATATACATAGAATAGAAATGTACTTTTTTAATTAATTTTGTGATCAAAATTTTCGCACACCACATACATAGTTTTTCTATATAACTATGCATTTAGAAAAACTTGACTCCTTTATTATCGTCAGATAAAATTAGCTCTGCTTTTTTATTTGCTTCCAATGTTTTAAGAGCTTTGACCAACACTTCTGTATCGAGCCCATGAAATTCTAAAAATACAACAAATTATTACTCCCAAATAACGCGATGTTTACTCTGAAATATATTTATCAATCCCTATGAAATAAAAGTGTAGTTTTCATTCAAACACATACCTTCGGTTATTGTATCTTCTCCTTGTGTTAATTCAAATAAGGTACATACAGATCCTGTAAGTCCTTTCTCTTGTGCCCAATTATAGATAATTTCACCCCATTCTTCTAAAGTATGCCAATAAACTAACCATCTTTCTTTAGACTTGTCTAATGGACTTGCATTTCCTGACTTTGCTAATTCTTCCAATGCTAGTAAAACAACTTCCGATGGTAACTTCCCTATCAGATATATTAAGAAATGATCTTGTAACCGACAAAAATGATATTTCAATTTACTATATTTACAATTTTGCTCAACTATTTCTATGCAAAGGATACGATTAATTGCAGAATTGTTAAATAACGGGCTTGAATGTACTTCTCGTATATCTATAATAGACTGTTTTGTAACACGATGATATTCAAGTATTAAACTTTTCCATGCTGCTAATTGTTTAGCTCTAATATCTGTATGAGGCTGGAGACTGAAAAAATGTACGAATAATACGAACATTTATAAAAAATATTTTATAATTTAAATATGAATTTACTAATTACATTTAACCTCTATATCGTTTAGAATGCACATTATTATTATTATTATTATTATCATCACTGTTAGTTTCATAAATTAGTTTTGTATAGATAAATAAAAAAATTTCATTTTAAAAACCCAAAGAAAAATAATCGAAAATATAGAATTAACATAACCCAATGACACTTACGTGAAAAAAGGAGGAAAACTGTATTGCCACGGCCACTTTATTTCTGTCATTGTGATTAAACTGCCCGAAACACCAATTAATCGTATATAGATAAAAATAATTACACGTTTGCGGTATTTTGACTGTACCAGAGAGAACCATAGATTCACACAAGTATTATAGAGTAAGGAAATTATATGGCTTCTAATGGCCTAACAGCCTAACAGCAGCCTAAGCAAGCCTATATATATATATATAGAGTATATTCGTGTTCGCGCTACAGTAATTTACCGTAGCTTGAAAAGTAAAATTTATGATTTCTCATTAATCAAAATTGACCTACACCAATCGAGAACTTATCTGCGAACGTCGAAGATAGAATGTTCTAACAACTAACAATTTTCTAAACTTATGTTGATTGATTCCACCTCTTCAGAATGAATTTCAATAGGAACAAAAATTGTTCTTACATGTTTCATTATGCTCTACATGTATACAAAACTTAATTTAAACCAGGATTTTCAGGTCTACGCATCGTACCGTTCTATTAATAAATCAAACTTGTATTTATCGGTAAGTAATCGGTAATTATTTATTAAATGGTAAATTTGTACAAATGTAATAAACATAATGTTACTGGGGTATATAATTGTAAATAACAATCGTCATTGAGCCCTAAAATTCTTATAAATAATTATGTATTGATTTTGATAGTACACTCCTTCACTTTCAAAATCTCTGTATGGTCTTAAACTAGAATATGGATTTTGTTCAAAGTATGTACATTTTACATCTCTATCCAAAATTGCTTCCAGTCTGATTTGCTCTTTTTCTGCTTCTGATAAAGTGTAAGATGTTAGAATAAGCGGACAATTTTGTTTAGTTATCATTCGCAAAGTATATGTCCATGTATCCATCTCAGATTTAAAGTTTTCGCATTCATGAATTCCAGCATTGTACCCAATAATAAAATTTGGTTTGACATAGGAATTACCAGTCGTATAATTCTCGTAAAGCATGTTCTGCATTTCGATTGCAAGTTGCCTGCCGTTGTATCGACAATTTTTGCAAAGATTTATTGGTATAGAACCTGGAGACAATTCAGGTCCTATTAATACAATTGATATCATAGTGGTATTAGGTAGCCAATGCAACAGAATTTCCCAAAGTTCTATACCATCGATTTCTATCGCATTAGCTGCAATAATATGAATAATTATGTTTTCCTCCTTAAAGAAATATTGTAATTTTTGTGTTGCATAAAGAAAAGTTAAAGGCCGTGTAAGGTATTCTGCGTTAACCATCATTTCTTCTTCCATTGATAAATTTGGATCTTTTTGAGCTTTAATGTATTCCTTTATAAAATATTTCATATTTTGTGGCAAATTTACATGTCCTGTACGATATGGTACTTTTAATTCAGGTATTTTTCTTTTGTGCAATATCAAAGCCATATCTAATGTAAAAGATAATTTCAACAGATAACAAATGTTATCGTGCATTGTATCATTTTTATGCTTTGTACAAAAACTGGCATTTGGACAATTGGGGCAGTCCTTGAGCTCTTTCACATTCCGATTATGGCATACCGCGCACGATTTAAGAAATTTAAACATCTGCTCTTCGTAGTATTTTAATTTTCTAGGAATCTTCATTGCTACTAGTAACATAAAATTCATTTTCATCTGGGCCCATTTTTCCATAGAAAGATCTTGTTTATTACTTAAAAAGCTTGACATTCTATTATCTAGGAAAACATTATGCACTGCATTGCACAAATCCTTGTGCTGCGACCAATGTTCTCTTTGATGTTCCTTGGAACAATAGGCGATCATTGTACAATTACCGCATCTTTTTAAAGAAACACCTTCACCAAAACGTTTACAAACATGGCATACATTTGTATAAAAAAAGTAGTTGTAGTTGAACACCATTTCAGTGTTGAAAAGATTGTATAAAAATTGATAAGTATCAAGTATAAATTTATCAAAATGTAACGATTAAAATTTGTACGAGTTATAAACATTGTATTTTTTTTCGCACTGTGGTATGATGTACGCGATTAAAAATCATATTAAATAAGATTACTTTCGTAATTTGACGTTCAAGTTTTTTAATCATTATATGACGTGTAGATTTAACATTTTTTAAATCAATTTCAATTATGCTGGACATAAGCGTAAGATAGCGGAATCACAGGCGGCACTAGTAGGCATTGTATTTATACTATAGGCATCACACCATCGCACTTCATATTTAGCGTATCGGTGAGCCTCAACACATCGCTATGAAAATGCCAGCGTCGCTGTCGGTTGCCGTCTGCACTCGTCGTAATATTATATGTCACGTGATAGAATCATATCAATGGCGCTATCAGTGGGGAAACGTCCAAGTTTGTAGTAAAAATAGTTCCTACTGCAAACACTAGATGACGCAACAAACTTACTTGTTTGCTTGTTTGTTTGTTTGTTTGTTTGTTTGTTTGTTTGTTTGTTTGTTTGTTTGTTTGTTTATTGATTGATTGATTGATTGATTTATTTTGGGTGCATGGGTATTTTCCCATATTGCACCGCTATGTGTTACATCACGCAACAAACTTGTTACATACCGACATTACAGTTTTCGATTAGTGGTGACGCCAGGCGGTGAATAAGCGAACTAATTTTCAGAGTTTGGTCAGCACCATCTACCAGTAAAAAAATGAACTAATCGATGACAAACTTGAGCGTTTTCCCGATAGAGGCGCTGACCAAACTCCGAAAATTAGTTCGCTTGCCCACCACATGGTGTCGTCACTAGTCCAAGACTATAATGTCGGTACGTAATGCGTCATCTAACGTACGCAGTAGAAACTACTTTCACTACAAACTTGGGCGTTTTTCCACCGATGGCGCCACTTTTCAACTTTTATATTGCCATCTGCAGTGTAAAAGGGAAACTTTTAGTGCACTTAAATATTTACCGTTTTCTTTGAAATGCTTGATACATAGTCGGTGAATCTGAGACGTAAATTAACGAAATGCATCTTAACTGAACGAAACGTATAAATAACGAGTATCACGATTCTGCAATATTTCCTTGTGTGTAAGTTATGGTTTCTCGAAACTTTGAGAGTATTCGACAATCCTAACCTTAAACTCGCGTTTATCTGATAACGAACTGAATTGTTTGAATTATCTTTTTGCAGGTCTATCGAGGAAAATATGATTACCTTGAGGGGAAAACTAAAGAAAGAAAGTGAGATAGCAAGCGCAAAAAATAGAGATTATAATAAACGCATATCTGTCCGTGATACGTTATTAGTCAAAGAGGTACAGTGATGTAGGGACGTATGAAGTTATTTTGAAGATATCGAAATAATGGTAACTAGACGACGCGTTATAGGTTTGTTAAAGCTTTTCATTATTCTTAATTTGTTTAGGTTCAAGAAATGGAGCAAACATTACCTAGCACTTGCAGAGTTACATTTAGCGATCCGCATTGTTTGTACGAATTTACATTGTTGATCGTTCCCGACGAAGGGTATTGGAACGAAGGTCGATTTTACTTTCAGATTTACGTACCCGAAGATTATAACATGGCTGTAAATATATTGTTTGTGTATCTATGTAAATACGATAAATTGTACCTGAAAAGATATTAACAAAGTATCGTTTTAGCCTCCAAAAGTTAATTGTCTAACAAAATTGTGGCATCCCAATATAAGCGAGGATGGCGACGTTTGTCTTTCGATATTGCGTCAAAGTAGTATAGATGGAATGGGATGGGCACCAACTCGTAAGCTTAAAGATGTCGTATGGGGCTTGAATTCTCTCTTCACGGTAAGTTTTTAGGAATTTGTTATAACATAGACTCTCAGTGTCTCTTTATAACAAACTTATCATCTATGTTTTAGGATCTTTTAAATTTCGATGATCCTTTAAATAGAGATGCAGCCGATCTCTTTGTGAAAGACAAAGACTCGTTTCGGAGTAAGGTAAAAGATTACGTGATGCAATATGCGAAGAGATGATTCGAATTAAAGGATACTATTATAATAATATAACTGTACATTAATTAGTTTTCTGACTCTGACAAATACTTAAAAATTCAACTTGAAGATTCTTTTTCGAAGCTATATCAAATCAACTCGTATTTAATACTTTGCAACTAGTCTTCTTATTCTAGGGAGGTTACATTTGTTATCTTCAGTTTTATCAGACGTATGCAGCTTTAAATTGTTACGGTACTTTGTTGCAGTTACGCGTTATACTTTTGCGTTTAATTAATGGTATAGAGAACGAGGATAAAGATCGTTGTATATTTGTACAATATACTTATCCTCTTTATAGATCATTGTCATGATGCAAGATACTGATTTTGTAAATAAATTTCATATTTAATAATAAGACCTTTTTATCCCAATGTTAATAGAGTTTACATGTGCGAAGGACATTTGAACTTGAACGACCATTACTTTAATTATTTGTCATTTATTGGTGATTTTATTAGAATATAATCATCGTTTTTGTACAATTTCGAAGGGTTTGGTTTGTACCTTGATTCGTTAAAACATGGTACAGTGTGTGGTGTATCTTATGTTACGTTTAAATACCGATAGATTGGATCTTTTTTTTTCTTTACTCGTAAATCTTTGGAGTAATGTATGAACAGATGTTGGTATCCGTTAAAATAATTAAGAGTTGTAACAAATAAATAATAACAAAAAAGAGAACAAGATAAGAAAGCTCTTGCACGTTTACTGTCTCCCTTTGGTTACTTTCCCTTGCTCTTTGCAAGGCTGACTAGATATGTGTGTGAAATTTGACAGTCACGTAAAGTAAAGTAAAGTAAAGTAAAGTAAAGTAAAGTAAAGTAAAGTAAAGTAATGTAATGTACTGTAATGTACTGTAATGTAATGTAATGTAATGTAATGTAATGTAATGTAATGTAATGTAAAGTAAAGTAAAGTAAAGTAAAGTAAAGTAAAGTAAAGTAAAGAAAATTGGAAAATCGTAGCTTAATCATAGGTTATCCGTTAGAACGTGGTGAGCAGTTCTTCTTGTATGCTAGTCGATCTAATAAGCTTTTGCGTCGAACCTAATAGACTTTCGCTTGCTAAACTTTGACTCTGGGATGCTAGTTTCGATTTTTCTTCGTGGTATTGTTCGTTGTATTCTTTCAGTCTGTTGCCTAAAAATACGGCCCTTTCGCGTTTCTTAATCATAAAGTCTGAGAGCTGAAGCCATCTGTGTTCGTGACACTCTTCCACCAATGGTCTTTTGCTGTAACAAGAACGTAAATGTAAAATGTAAATGATCGAAATAAAAATATGTGAGTAGGGGGTAGATAATTGGAAATAGAAGAGAATCGGTGAAGGAATCGATACGAACCTAGGTGCCCGCTTAAACACCAACATAAGGAATCTGGTAGCCTCTTGGGTTAATTCCTTGTAGAGGTGTTCGAATCTGTATCTGACGAAGAGAATATTCTGCCTGGTCTCGTCGGGATCTTTACCGCGAAACGGTGGGATACCAGATAACAGAACGTACATTAAAACACCGACCATCCAGACGTCCGTTTGAGGATGAGCCGGTTCTTCGTTATATATTTCGGGTGATCTGTAGTCGGGGTGACCAAGTTTTGGCACCGAGGTACCCAATTTGCTGACGAATCGAGCAGAACCCATGTCGACCAGTTTTATTTGGACCGATCTAACGGTGGACATGACCACGTTGTCTGGTTGGATATCGAGATGCGAATATCCTCGCCAGTGAAGGTATTGCAAACCGTCCAAGATCTGAGAAATGGCGGTAGCCACGCAGTTCTCCGTGTACTCGTGTCTACTCGAGAAATAGGTGAGAATGTCGGCACCTTGAAGCTTCTCTAGGACGAACATCGCGACCGTGGAACCCGGCGCCTTGTACGCAGTTTCCAGTAACGCTATCCTCTCGTGTCTCAATGAACGGAGAGCTTCGAACTCTCTGTTTACCTGTTTCTCGGTGTTTGCGTTCAGCTCGAGGATCTTGGCGACTATCACGCGGTCCGTGGCCTTGTCGACGCCTTTTACCACGGTGCAGAATTGACCTCTATGAATTTCCGAGATGAAGCTGTACTTGCTCGATAGATTGGTCTCGGTCGACCATTCGATAGGGTGATCCTCGATGGAATAATCCATGTGCGGTTTGTCCTCTTCCAACATTATCTCCTGTCCAGCTTCCGTTAGCTCCTGAAGATGCCTCATAGCTCTGGTTATCTGAACTTTCGGGCAACCCGGTGGCCTGGTCTTTATCAGTTTCGAGGGGATGCCTTTCTCGCTCCATCCGATGCGGTTTCGCGCTGCCAGACGAAAGTTGTAGCTCGTGTCTGGCTTCAAGTCTCTTACCAGGAAAAACTCGTGATCGATGTTCGAGGCAAGGTCTATCCAGTCGATGGAGTCACCTTCTCGAATTTGAAGGTTGTAGCACAAGACTGGGGAGTTGCCATCGTATTTCGGTTGTTTCCATCGGAGCAGTATCTCGTTGTCCGATACATCGGATACCTGCCAGTGTAAATACCAAATAGTGTATTCAAAGTAAGAAAAGTAGAGGTGGATGATTAATTGTAAAAATTCGAAGAATCGTTACCTCAGGGGAATCAGGACCCGAGGGAACAACAGCTTCTACCAATCTGCACCTGACCACTGTCTGTCCCAACGAGTTTCTCGCGACAACTTTGTAGCTACCCACGTCGTGTTCTTTCGTCGGATTGAAGCTGAGGATTGATCTGCCGTCTTTGTCTTCCGTCACCTTTATTCGGTTTGTTTCTTGAATCATTAGATCGTTTTTGTACCATTGGATCATCGGCTTGGGACTGCCGACAGCCAGGCACACCAGCTGAGCAGGTTTGCCTTCCTCGATCGGACGGATCTGCGGTTTTTCTCGGAAGAACGGTAGGTGTCCCTCTTTTTTCGACTCTAACATCGCCTCCGCCTCGGCGTAACTATCCAATCGTGTTCCCAATTCGTGTTTCAAACGTCTCAGCGTGAAGTTGTCCGGCGATCCGTACCTGTTGATTCTGGCTCGTCTTTCGTCGTCGATTTCTTCGTCCATCACGTCCGTGAATCGACGACGTTCGCGTATGATGGGCGCCTGATTTAACACCGCACAAGAAATTATATCTTTGATGGATCCAGATTTCAGGCAAGATGCGAGTGGCTGATCGAGTGTAATAGAAAAAAATAGTTTTCGCTTACCCTC